TAATGAAATAAGTTGGTATCGGTTCATGGTATCGGTTAACTTTTACGAGTATGAGTACACACACATTTTACAGTATCGACCCCGATACCTGATACCAGCATCAGTATCGGTGCATCCCTAGTAAAAAGTGTAAACATGTTCTGCACACTGACTGACGAGAGTTTGGAGCATCTGAAGAGAGAAGGAGAACTTCATTATAGAATAAGGGAACAGTATCGGTTAAAATACACACAGTACACCTGCTGATCAGTGCTGAGTCATGGAGAATGTCAGTTACCAAAACAAACTTGTTGGTCAGGCTGTACAACTATTATTATCAGAGGTTTCCATAACACAGCCTAGTATCACACGCAGTCTGTTTGCAGGGTAGTGATGTTGTGTTTGCAGTAAGAAAACGATTACTGTTCTCGTGCACGTTTCCATCCAACGAGGCTCCAGCTTGTTGGCATCGGTGGAGCCATTACAGCAGGGCAACAGAGGGTGAACGGGCCTCCCAGCAATTATTACCTAATGGGAGGTGATTGCTCACCAGGTTGCCAAACACTTTTTTTCCCTCAACCAGACTGTGACAGCATTCCTGTTTGAACAGCTTCCAGCTGAAACGAAACAGCCTCAGGCGCTCTGTCTGCAGAACGAAAGACGGAAACGTCAGGGCTCCCTGATAGACTTTATTGATCCCACAAGAGAAACTGATTTACAGCAGCAAGAGTGAAACCAGTACCGTCTACAATAAACAACACAGTTAAATAAAAGTGCCGTATACTCCGAGATAATACAGAAATGTAAATATATAAAAAAGTGAAAAAAGTTCAAATGAAGTTGGTTAAAAACAGTAAAATTAAGACTGATGTGTAGGAGAGAAGTGCACATTGCTTTAAAGTCTTAAACGCTAACTTTACCACTCAATAAAAGTTAACGTGAGGATTCCCGATGGTTATATACTGGAATATACGGCTGCATGTGCTGGGCTGTAGCTACACCGGAAGGGTTTAAAATGAACAGTGATAATAAAAACTGAGAGGCTGACAGTGATCACTGCCTTTCTTTAGGGGCTTGTTCAGGTTAAACAGAACAAGATAGAAAACATTAAAACATGTTAAAAACACAACAAAGCAGTTTGGACCCAGAAGCAGGATTCATCATCTCATCACTTATAGACCAGATAAAGCTGTATTTATATAACCTAAGATTAATCTTCATGTAGTTGTATGTATATCTATCTCACAGATTATTAACATTGGATACAATAGATGCATAACATGGAATAACATTTGTATGATTTATAGGGTTTCTATTTCTTTCTGTGCATTTAAATAGATTTGACGATACTTTCCCTCTTTGTTTAGATAATAACAGATGCTTACTGCATTATTTACCCTAATTAGAAAGAATTTATTTTGATCTTTAAATCTGTTAAATTATAATATATGTTATCAACGCATTTTTTTTAAATGTTCTGAGCCGAAGCCTGACTGTGCAAAATACCTGCACATCCTGTTTCCAAGGTGGTAGATTATGGAGAGTCAGGGCTTAAAAAACACAACCTTAACACCTTTAATGGGCCTACATCAGCAGAAAACATGACGACACATGTTAGGTAAAAATGCTAAATTAATAGAACATATCCGTGTGGGGAACTCCAGGGCTCGAGGGCTGGTTTTCCTGCAGATTTTAGATCTCACCCTGGGTAAACACACCTGAATCACATGATTATTTCATTACCAGGCCTCTGTAAAACCTGAAACCTTTTACATCAGCTGTGTTGGATCAAGGACACATCTAAAACCTGCAGGACGCCGGTCCTCAAGGCCTGGAGTTGGACTTGAAATAAAAAGCATGTGCATTATCTAATTAGAGCTGTGTTTGCTCTGTGAGACAGAGTTTATCTAAAACAGCATACCTCTACAGCTGCACCTGTCGAGCAGGTCTGTTTGGATAAATGTCGTGGGTGGGGGTGGGGTGGGGGGGGTTAGGAGGAGGGATCAACAAAACAATGAAGGAAAAATGACACGAATGTGAAAAGTGAAATCCAGACTGACAGGAGCAAGAGAAGGAGAGGAACGAGCTACAGGGAACATCTCGTACAAACACTCAAATATAACCTCAGATAAGGTAAGACGTGTTAACATGTGAACTGTGGACTCTGTTCCTGTTGTTAGTCAGGATTAGTTCACCCAGCAGCCTGTAGAGCGTCATCTGTCTGTCAAAGGAAGCTCTGTATGTGCTTATATGTAACATAAGTACTGATATTTAATGTTATCATCCAGAGGACGGTCCACAGACAGCACGCTTACACTTACGGGTTATGTGCTTGATCGATAGGTGATTATGAGGAGTGTGTGAAAGTGTGTGAAAGTTTATCCACCAACATGGCTGTTGGTGGATAAACTCATAAATCACGTCTTTGTTCAACAGACCACAAAATTATCTGAGCATATAAAAGTCATACGTGGCTGACGACACACGCTACCTGTTTATACGGCAGCTGTACAGCTTTAATAAATGATCTCACTGTGTAACCTCAGGAAATGGTTGTGCAGGCAGGTGTTATCGAGCTGCCTGTACGGTCGGATACTCCAAATCTGTTTCATGATGACGTGAAAGAAAGCAGCCGTGTGTCGCCACATGAAACTTCATATAAGCCTTTGACACCAGCGTGTGCAACAATCATACAGTCTGTTGTCGACATGTGTGCGCCGTCACGATGCTTTTACCAAAGCTGGATTTATAAACCAAACACA